TTAAGTTAGACTGTTAGAGAATAAAGAAGCTGCCATTGAACCTTTGGTAATCACAAATCTAAGCATGCAATGGCAATAAGTACCAATCTGTCGATAATCACCTTAAATGTAAATGGACTGAATGCACCAATCAAAAGTCATAGAGTTACAAAATGAATAAAATTCAAGACCCATCTATATGCTGCCTACAAGAGAGTCACACCAAACCCAAAGACATACATAGACTAAGAGTGGAGGGATGGAAAAAGATATTTTAGAAAACAATTGGGAGAATAAAGCAAGATTTGCAATACTTGTACCAGATAAAATTTAATTCAAAAAAAAGAAATTAACAAGAGACAAAGAAGGACATTACATAATGATAAAAGGGTCAGAACAACAACAGTATATAACCACTACAAATATCTACGCACCCAACATAGGAGCACCTACATATGTGAAAGAAATACAAACAGAACTAAATGGGGAAATAGAATTCAGTGCATTTATTTTAGGAGACCACTGCTGGTGGGAATGTAAATTAGTTTAACCATTGTGGAAAGCAGTATGGAGGTTCCTCAAAAAGCTCAAAATAGAAATACCATTTGACCCAGGAATTCCATTTCTAGGAATTTACCCTAAGAATACAGGAGCCCAGTTTGAAAAAGACAGATGCACCCCTACGTTTATTGCAGCATTATTTACAATAGCCAAGAAATGGAAGTAACCTAAATGTCCATCAGTAGATGAATGGATAAAGAAGATATGGTACATGTACACTATGGAATATTATTCAGCCACAAGAAGAAAATGAATCTTACCATTTGCAACAATATGGATGGAGCTAGAGGGTATTATGCTCAGTGAAATAAGCCAGGTGGAGTAAGAAAAGTAACAAATGATTTCACTCATATGTGGAGTATAAGGACAAAGAAAAAACTGAAGGAACAAAACAGCAGCAGACTCACAGAACCCAAGAATGGACTAACAGTTACCAAAGGGAAAGGGACTGGGCGGGAGTGGTGGGAAGGGAGGGTTAAGAGGGGGGACAAAGAGGGCATTACAATTAGCATGTATAATATGGGGGGAGGCACACAGAGGGCTGTGCAACACAGAGCAAACAAGTAGTGATTCTACAGCATCTTAACACTGATTGACAGTGACTGTAATGGGGATTGTGGGGCAGGTGGGACTTGGTGAAGGGGAGAGCCTAGTAAACATACTGTTCCTCATGTAATTGTAGATTAATGAAACCAAAAAAATATATCAAGAGGAATATACAGCATGATCAAGTGGGATTCATCCTAGGGATGTAAGGGTGGTACAACATTTGAAAAGCCATCAACATCATCCACCACATCAACAAAAAGAAGGACAAAAACCACATGATCATCTCCATAGATGCTGACAAAGTTCAACATTCATTTATGATAAAAACTCTCAACAAAATGGGTATAGAGGGCAAGTACCTCAACATAATAAAGGCCATATATGACAAACCCACAGCCAACATTATACTTAACAGTGAAAAGCTGAAAGCTTTTCCTCTAAGATTGGGAGCTAGACAAGGATGCCTATTCTCCCCATTTTTACTGGAGGTCCTAGGCATGGAAATCAGAGAACACAAAGAAATAAAAGGCATCCAGATTGTTAAGGAAGAAGTTAAACTGTCACTGTTTGTAGATGACATGACATTGTAGATAAAAACCCTAAAAAATCCACTCCAAAACTACTAGAACTAATAACTGAATTCTGTAAAGTTGCAAGATACAAAATTAATATACAGAAATTTGTGGCTTTCCTATATACTAATGATAAACTTTCAGAAAGAGAAATCTGGAAAACAATTCCATTTACAATTGCATCAAAAAAGAAAAATCAACCTAGGAATAAACCTAAGCAAGGAAGTGAAAGACCTATATCCTGAAAACTACAAGATACTCATGAGAGAAATTAAAAAGACACCAGTAAATGGAAATACATCCCATACTCATGGATAGGAAGAATCAATATTGCCAAAATGGCCATCCTGCCTAAAGCAATCTACAGATTCAAAGTAATCCCTATCAAAATACCAACAGCATTCTTCAATGAACTACATCAAATAACTCTAAAATTCATATGGAACCACAAAGGACACCAAATAGCCAAAAAATCCTTAGAAGGAAGAATAAGGTGGGGGGAATTATACTCCCTAACTTCAAGTTCTGCTACAAAGCCACAGTAATGAAGACAATTTGTTACTGGCACAAGAACAGACCCACAGTCCAGTGGAATAGAACAGAGACTGGGTATTGGGGGGAAGAGAGCACAAACATCCCATTTTAACATGACTATGTTCTGATGGTCTAATGTACAGCATGGTGATTGTAGTTAAATAATACTGCTGTGTATACTTGAAATTTATAAAAAGTAGGTGTCAGTTATCCTTACAAACACACACAGAAAGTTAACTTTGTTAGGTGATTGCTGTGTTACCTTGGTGTTGGTAAAGATATCACAATATATACATACTTAAACATCACATTGTACACCTTAAATTTATACAGTCTTTATCAATCATGCCTCAATATAGCTGTAAAAAATATAGTGTCTATAATCATGATGTGCTGAATACAGACAGTACTCATATCACTATATTCTTGCAGTAATTGCCAAAAAAGAAATTACAATTATCTGGAAGCATCTATACAAAATTCAGGATATATTTTCCTCCTCTTTCATAAAGAGATTTTCTGGACCGCAATCCCACCAACTCTCACAAGTGAAAACCATTTTTAAAGGCATGTTGCTTCCTGGAGAACATGAATTACCTGATGCATAGGGTTTATAATCACTTATTTTAACTGCCAGGGGACAAAACCACCTTGCATTACTTTTATTAACAAAATACCCAGTTACTCTAGGGTCAGAAAATACAGGAACTTTCCTAATGGGAGTGCAAGTCTTGAGAGAGCTAATCATTGACTTATTTATATTCAGTCCAAAAATACAATGCTGAATGAATTTTAAATATATCAATATGTATTAGTAAATCATTAGTAAAGCAAGCACTAGTGTATACAGTATAACAAATACAGGGGGATTAATATATTTTGTGACATATTGACTTAATTTTTGGAAGGTGAAGAAATGAGCTAAAAAATCATTGCAGCATTGAGAAGCTTACCTTTTCTTTGAAAATTGTATAGAAATAGTTTAATTTACAGATTAGTTGGGAAGGTAAAATTAATCCTTATGTCTTCCATTCTCAGTTTCTTGTATTAGTAACATTACAAATTAATATGAGAATTTGTTGAAATTAATGAACCAATATCGACACATATTATTATTAGCCAAAGTCTGTACTTTATCGAAATGTCCTTAGTTTTTACCTAATGCCCCTTTTCTTTTCAGAATAGTGCATCTATTTGTCATGTCACCAGGGTTACCCTGGCTGTAAAACATCATTGTTATGTCTCCTAGTGCAGTGATTTGATGGTAGTTATGTGACAAGGGTTCTTCAGTTCCTTCAAAGTTCAGATGAGAAAGCTAATAAATACAGATATCAATTATCCACAAATTGATTTATAGGTCTGATACTACTCCAATCAATATGATACCGTAGACATAGACAACCTTATACTAAAATTTTAGTGGAAAGATACATACATGAGAGTAGGTATAACAATTCTGGAACTAAGAATAATGTAGAAATAAGTACTTCAACAATATTATTCTCTAGATACCATAAGACTGGCTTTGTTGTTTACACTGTAGGATAGGCACATGAATCAGTGGAACAGATGAGAGAATCCAGAAACAGACTGTAGAATTATGACAGTGTTTTTTGACAAAGTTTAAAGCAATTGGTGGAGGAAAGATTGCTTTTTATGCAATTGGTGCTGGAGAAATTGGGCATAAATAGCTGAAGAAAAAATTGCTACAGTTCACTCTATTGGTTCACATTAACACAAATTAATTCAACATGGATATCATATGAGTTCATTTATTTGTGGAATATAAAAACAAAGCCAAACAGAATGAGCAAAATAGCAGTAGACTCATAGACACTGAGAAATGACTAGTGGTTCCTAAGGGGGAGGGTCTGGGGCGGGCGGGTAGTGAAGGTGAGGGAGATCAAGGGGAACAGATATTCTTTATTGTGACATAAATTGGTCACAGGGATAGAAGTGCAGCACAGAGAATACAGTCATGGTTCTGTAACATCTCTCTGTGTTGACAGATAGTAACCACAACAGTGGGGGTGAGGGTTTAATAACATGGGTAACTCTGGAACCACTGTGTTGTATACTTGAAACCAACATGAGATTGTATATCAATGATACTTCAATAAAACCAATAAAAAATATTAAACTGGATCTTATCACAATTAAAATAATTTTCTCTGCAAAAGCTAACATGAAGAATTTGAAAAGAGAAGGTACATGAACACAGTGAGATAACACTGGACAATTGTTAGAACTTCCAAAATAAGAATGCCAACAGCACTCAGGGCTCTCAGGGATGCGAAGCGGCAGAAGCTCTCACCTCCGGCCCGTGAGAACGTGACCTGGTGCAGCTGTCACACTGGAAGGCAGTTTGGCCATTTCTTACAGGTCTAAGCAGACCCTTAGCACACAATCCAGCAATTGCCAGTAAGATGATTGTGATATTGTAGTTTAGTTTTGCAGAATGTTACCATGGTGAGATACTGAGTACAGTGTACACTGTACATTTTTGGTGTTATTTCTTACATGTTAATTTTGTGACCTCAGTACCAGTTTCAATATAAAAAAAATAAACTTGAACACATGGAAAGCCAGCCCATGTTCTAAGTTGGGAAATCTCACTAAGTGGTGAGTTCTGTCATTTTACTAAATTTAAAATAGTATCAAAATTTCCAAGGAGCATTTTTATTGAGCTAGATAAATGATCATAAATTTCCCATGGAAAGAAATGCATAAGAAAAGTTTGGAAAATACTGTTCAGGAAGAGTAATGAAGGGGGTTGTGCTCTAACACACACTAAAAACATTGCAACAACTGTAGTAAGAGAGTGAAGTATTCTTAGCTGCATTAAGAGCCTAAGGGAATGGGAGCGCAGTGTCAGGTAAGGAAAGGGAGAGAGAAGGAAAAGGAGGGTCCAGGTGTTCCCGACAGGACGTTGTTCAGGCAGAGGAGCTGGACGTGACTATGGAGGGGTGGGCCATCCTATAAGATTGGTTTGGGGAGCATATCTGGCTTTCTCTGGTTGGTCCTGAAATGAAAATGGGGCAAAAAATTCGGAAACAGGTAGTTACTGACCGAGTCCTGGCCCTGCTGCTGATGCTGCAGGGGCTGCTGTCTGACTCCCTGAGCTGGCTGCTTGGGAGGTTGGAGTCAGAGCTCTGTTTTCATCTGCGGTCTGGCCATAGTCTGTTTTTACGTTTAGTCTAAAAAATGAATGAGTCTTTGCTCAAATGCAATCATCAATTGACTCTTCATTAAGAAACCTTCATTGAAAAGTGACGCTTTGAAAATTTAGAAGGTTGAACATTGTACGTCAGGAATCTGGAGACCCGGGAGATGACAGGACTCTCACAAAGTTTGCTTGATTGGGTAGTAAAGGACCCAAATTATTAATTCATTAACTTAATAAAGAAATAAATAACAGTAATTGAGGAGTGAGACAGAATAGTAAGGAATACAAAGAAAAGAAGTTCAAGAGCAATAAATCCTAAATAGTGGGTTTTACAAATTTATTAAACCTAATATGTAGCAACGTCTGAATCACTTATGGCCAACCAGTATATGTAAAAACTATCTTCTAGTTCAAAATTGTTAATTTCTTTGGTGTTGTCCAGTTCTTTAAAACGGTAGTCAAGGAGCTGCCATGTAAATGTAAACTCGTAACAGCTAACAGTGAGGAACATACGACAAAAGCTCACTTGACGGTCATAGCCTACTATCTAACATGATCTTTGTGAGTCATTACTTTGGTTCTTACTGTTAAATAACTAGTTTTAAAGATGAGAAAACTGAAACACAATGAAGCTAGAGAAGCTGTCCCAAGTGGAGCTATGATGATCAATTCAATGTCCAACCCCAGAGGCACGGACTTTGGACTTTCTGCTTTAAGAGACATTTTTTTTCCACAGGTCTCTATGGTACCTGTTTGGTTGGTTCAAGCAAATGGTATTTTAATTAATTTTCAAACTCGTCAAAGCCTTTGCTAAAATATGCTAGTATGAAAAATAATTATATCCTAACTTGCGTAAGTAATGTGTATAACTATATATATCATTTCCCAATCTCAATGTTTTAAAATGGATTTGTGAGGACTTAAAAGTGGAGAGTAAATTGTATATCCACTACCAAATTAGGAATGGCATTTTCAGATTTCACGTTCAATTACATTGTTTAATTTGTCAGATGCCATGGACAAACAATATTTGTTTTAAGCATGCAATGATTATGCCCCATATTTGAAAACCTGTATGTATTGCTATACATTTAAGTATTTTCAGTATTAAGTCTAAGATGGTCTATATGGGACTCTATGCATATGACTCAACAAGATTTTTAAAAACTGGAAAAATAATTTGATTTATTGATTTTGGATTAATAACCTTTTAGTTTTACAAATTACCTAATAGGTTGATCTTTATTATAAGAAAGAGTTCAAGTTTTTAACAATCTGCTGACTGGCAGCAGAATAAGAAAAGAATTAGAAAAAGTAAAGACAACTTAAGGGATATTTTGGACAACACCAAGTTGAGTAACATTCATATTATAGGGGTCTTACAGGGTGAAGAGAGAGAAAGGGTTGCAAAAATAATTTCAAGAAACAATGAATGATTCAAGTGGGAAGTATTAAGTTCTGCCCTAATCTGGGGAAGGAATCAGGCACCCAGGTACAGGAAGCCCAGAGAGCTTCAAAAAGGATGATGCCAAAGATATCCACACCAAGATACATTATAATTGAACTGCACAAGTTGAAGACAAAAATAAAATATGGAAAACAACAAGAGAAAACAGCTTGTCACATACAGGGGAAACCCCATAAATCTATAAGCAGATATTTTAGCAGAAACTTTACAGGCCAAAAGGAACAGCATTACATATTCAAAGTGCTGAAAGGAAGCAAACAAACAAACTTCCAATCAAAAATTCTCTACCCAGCAAATTAATATTCAGGATTAAAGAAGGGATTAAGAGCATTTAAAGTTGGCAAAAGTTAAAGAAGTAGATCACTACTAAAAACCCTACTTGAAATTTAGGGGGCCTTCTTTAAGCCAAAAAGAACAGAAATTAGTTAATGATAAGAAAACATACAAAAGTACCAACCTCCCTGTAATAGATAACGAGGGGATAAAGGTAGTGAATTAATCATTTACAAAGTAAGCATGACAGTTAAAAGGCAAAAGTAGGACATTTAACTAAAATTGCAAAAATTAGATAAAGGAGGCATTGATAAAAAGAAAAATGCATCATTAAAATATAAAATGGGAGGAGTAGAAAGGTAACATGCTGGAATATGTTTAAATTCAGTGTTTGTAAGTTTAAAACAGACAGTTATTTATATAGAATATATATATCCCACAAAAAACAAAAACTTAACAGCAAATACAGAAATTAAAATTAGAAAGGAGTCTATACATAACAAGGAAAGTCATCAAACCACAGTGTTTTGCAACAGTGGAAGAGACAGAGATGATCTACAAAAACAACCACAAAAAGGGGGAACAATAGTGACAATATTTGATATCTTGATCTGAGAGATGGTTACATAAGTGTATAAAAACATCAAAATTTATGGAGTTAAACACTAAAATTTGTGTATTTTATAGTATGTACCTTAATATAAATACTTAAAAAATAAATAAAAGCCATTGATTCTGGGGGAAAAAACAGTCACAAAACAATGAACAGTGTGAATAAGTATATACTATTCATTATTGCCTTATTGTTTTAAATGTAAATGGACTAAGTTTGCCAATCAAAAAAACAGGGAGTGCTTGTATGGATAAAAACACAAGACTCATATCTATGTTGACTGCAAGAGACTCACTTGAGAAGTAAGGACATATATGCATCCCTATATTTATTGCTGCATTATTTACAATAGCCAAGATATGGGAGCTACCAAAATGCCCCACAATAGATGAATGGATGAAGAAGAAGTGATCCATATACACAATGGAATATGAGCCAGCCATAAAAAAGAAAGAAACCCTGTTATTTGCAACAACATGGTTTGATCTAGAGGGTATGATGCTAAATGAAATAAGCCAGGCAGTGAGTGACAAACATCATGTGATTTCACTTACATGTAGGATATAAAAACAAAACAAAATGAAATGAAAACAGAGTAGACTCACACTGAGAAGTGACTGGTGGTTACCAAAGGGGAAGTGTTGGCATGGGTGCGTGGGTGGGGTGTGTGAGGGGGATAAAGAGGCAGAAAATCTCAATCACAGTATAAGTTGGTATTGGGGATGGAAAAGCAGTATGTAACACCTTTTTATGTTGGCAGATAGTAACTACACTCTTTGGGGTGATAATTTAATAATGTGTAATTGTTCAATCACAAATTTCTATACTTGAAACATAAGATTGTATATTAACTAAACCTCAATGAAATAAAATAAAACATGCATAGAGATTTAAGTACAGCATAGGGAATATAGTCAGTGATATTATAATTTATTTGGTGACACGTGGTAACCACAGTTTTTTTTGAACATGTGGTGATGTATATGTTGGTCAAATCACTATGTTGTACATCTGAAACCAACACAGCATTGTATACTAGCTAAATTTCAATTAAGAAATGCACTTCTCTGAAGGTTCTGAACCACTCTAAAAGATAGCCAAAAGACATAGACAACCTCTCCCGATATCTGCCAGGATGAGTAGGATGTTACCTGTAGATGGGGTGTAGCTCACATTTCTCTCTGGCCGTATAATAAATAAAGCCCCCACTTGACAGCTGTCCTCCTGCACAGGCAAGAGAAGGCAGCTGGCGTCCGTGGCAGGAGGAAAAGAAAGACAAGTCCTCAAGAGCCACAGGAAAGGTGTGACTGTATATGAAAGAGGAAGGACCTGCAGAGCGCGTGGGCCCCCCCGAGTCACAGGGACGGGAGCCACAATGCACAGAACTTTTAAGGCAGAGATCCAGAAGAGCGGACTTGGATAACAGGTGTTAGCCTGTGCCGTCCTCTTCTAGTTTTCCCAGGAGCCTCTCTGCGGACTCTCCAGTGGGGTGTCCCGGCCATTCCTGTTGGGGTGCCGGAAACAGTAGTGGTAGAAAGTGCATTTCCCTCCCCCCTTGAAGTGCTTGACCGGAACCTCTGTAACAAGATGATTTCGTACACATTTATTTAATATAAGTTTTCCTCCATGGGAAAAAAAGACCCAAAGAAATGGTGAAACCTGAGAGTCCTTATGCTCGGTTCGGTGAAGAGGAGGATACTGTGGAGAGGCGGGATGGGACAAAAGTTTGAGCTGACCGCACACTGGGAAGGACTTCGTGAGGCTGGTTTAACAGTTTCCTCCCCGTCTCTGGGGATAAAGAGGCTGGTGGTTACCAAGGGGGAAGGGTTGGCATGGGTGGGTGGGTGAGAGATATATATCTCTGGGTGTAGAGAGGGCACCTTCTCATGTAAGTGTTTCATCATCTGCTTCATAGGAAGATCAGAAATTCCTTCCTGCCCTTGTCATTTCCTAAATTCCTTCTGTTTGAAAATCCAGAATTCCCAGTCGTCACTGTCACGTGAGAACCTCGTTCCCTCACAGCGCTCCCCCTGCCGTCGGGGTGCCCACTGCGGATCACCGCTTGGATTAATCATGATATAGATGATTAAACATTATGACTTTTCTAACTGTATCTTTGCTTCTCTATTTACCAGCTGCCACTCTTCTGAAGGAAATATAATAACTTTTTAATCAGTGTTTTCTCTAGTAATAAAACATATTATAGACAATGAGGGAACTGAAGTATCTCCAAGGATTTTCATAAAGAATTCAAATTCTGAAATATTTAAACCAGTTCTACTTTATCACAACAAATTTAATTGAGGACAACCTAATAATCTTTTCTGTGGTGACAATCTTCCTTGACAGTAACCTTGACACATGGTGAACCTTTACATGAAATTAATTATATTTACATATGTCTTTCTTTAAGGAAAAAGAAAAAAATTTTTTGGTGTTTTATTTCCATTGACTATGGAAAATCTTAAGGATAATTTTATATGTAAGAGAAACAAAAATTTTATTTTATCTTATCATATTTTTACAATATCTAGTATTGGTATGGTAAGAATCAAAAGTTATCAGAGGGTATTTGGGAACATGTTAAATGATGTCGCATGACTGAGAAACAATGCAGAATCATACATTTACGCCAAGTGACAATGAAACAAACACTGGTATCACATTGCAGAAAAACATAACATGATTGAAACAGTGTATTTTTTTATCTTAAGGACAGAACAAAGTCAATGTTAAATCCAAGAAAGTTACTTGATAACACATAAAATACATGGATTACATTTTGCATAATGAAAAATCTTTCGCATCGTAGGAATAATTAGCGAGTAGCTCATCTTCAATTGAACTACTTCCATAATTTTAACACATATCCTATCTTCTTTCCAGACCTAGTTTAGATACCTTATCTATGGCTCAAGTAGAGGTAAAAGGCTTTCTGAATTATAGACAACTAAACGCTCAGGCGCACACACAGCTTCAGACCTCTGCCTGGTGTCTTCCAGGAAATAATATTCACCAGGGAGGGCACTATGTGTCTTTGATAACTGGATTACCTCCCTCCAGGGTGTTGTCTCTGCTTCAGGTGTCCCTCCAAAGGACTGTTTATTGATAGGGGCACAATCCTAAAATGGCCCTGTGCACACCATGTTAATTTTGCCTGCTTTTTTTTCTGCTTCAGTGCTAGACAGTCAGATCCTTCAGGAAAGTCAGGAGTAAATTTCACCTTTGTAGATCAAATGCTTCATGTACTGTCGTCATTGAAGCACCCCAATATTTTTTTTTCTTTTCAGTTAATGAAATAGAGAAAATGAGTTGAAAGATGACCAAAATCAAAACTTATAAAAAGAGAAACAATTCTTTCAGAGCTGTGCCGCAAAGGGAGGACCAATTTCTTGCAAATGACCAACTGAGCGCACACACCCCCGTGTGTCAGCCTGACGGGATTCAATTCTCTGAACTTTGCAACAGTCATTCAGGCTTTTGAGCACTTAGGACACTGTGTTCTTTCCTCAAGTCTTTCCCAAATTTATGAATAAGTTAAATGATGAGAAAAAACATCCAGCGATTCCTGGGGATGTTTGGATGTATTACATGAAGTGAGAGTTTTGGCCATGTGTCCTATGCAGCAATCTCAGCAGAGCCTGCTTCATGTCCTTGTTCCTGAGGCTGTAGATTACAGGGTTCACTGTTGGAGGTACCACAGTGTGGATCACAGAAAGCAGCCTCTCAGTAACTGATGGTGAGTTTGAAGGTGGTTTGAGATCAACAAAACAGGCAGTTGTCATAAAAAGGGTGACAACAATGAGATGGGGAAGGCATGTGGAGAAAGCTCTAGACTGACTTTTCGTGGTAGGAATCTTCAGCACCGTGGAGAAAATATAAATGTAAGAGATCATGATACAGATAAAACAAGACATGCCTAAACACATACCTAGTCCAATACTCACATAAACTATCATTGGTGTTTCAGAGCAGGACATCCTTAGTAATGAGGAGACATCACAGAAAAACTGTGGAATCACATTGGAGCCACAGAAGGGCATGGAAAATGTGCCAACTGTGTACACAGCTCCAAATAACCCCCCAGTAACCCAGGAAACACCAGCCATCAGGGCACAGGTGCCACCACTCCTGAAGACCTCATAGTGCAGGGGACAGCAAATCGCCACATAGCGGTCATAGGACATGGCAGTGAGCACAAATATCTCACCTGCTGAAAAGGAAGTCATTAAGAGTACTTGGGAAGCACATCCTAAAATGGAAATTGAAGTGTTGTGAGTTAGGTTGTTGACAATGAATTTTGGGATTGGGACAGACACGAGGAAGACATCCAGTAAGGACAAATTCTTCAGGAAGAAGTACATGGGTGTTTGTAGCTGCAGGTCTAGGGTGATGAGAGTGATGATCAGGAGGTTACTCACTAGGACAGCCAGGTAAACCACTCGGAAGAGCACACCGTGTACAATCTGGAGCTCCCAGACTTCAGAAAACCCCAGAGGAAGAAACCCTATGGCCATTGTGGCATTGACCATATGCTGGATTCTCTTCACTGCCTGTCAAGAGAAGGAGATATGCAAAGAAACATTAATTTACAGGAACCATACTGATATGCAGAATCATTTCATTGAAGAAGAGGCATAGATCCACCTTAAATGCCTCTGAAGAGTACTGAAAAGTTCATTTTTTAAGATAAAAGGATTCCATGAATGATACATGAAGTCCATAAGTCCTTATATGAGTTACACCTCACCCTGTAGCCTCTGCCATAACTTCCTACCAAATAAATACAATAAATTATAATTTATTATAATTTAATAAATTTTTCCCAACCCAATTAGTGCTGCAATAATATTGTGCTGTTATTAATGAGAAATTCTTTTGCTTTCAGAAAGCAATCTAAAGGCCTTTAACTGTAAGATTTTTATGTTATCATCCCTAATTGTCTAAAAGGAGTAAATTTTAAATTCTCTATTTTTCATAATAATCATGATCTCTCATTTACAAAGCATTTAATAATCAAACATAGCCTAATAATTTATTATTACCTTATACACACAAAGGAATATCAAAAATTAATTATTTGTTAAATGTTTGTATTGGGCATTAAACTGGCAGAGACAAATTTTTTAAAAGGTTGATTTTGGGGAGCTTGCTGTGAATGGGAGGAGAAAATTAATAAGCATACCTATAAAGAAATATTGCAAATAGTTTTTGTGTCATTAAAATAACACAAATGCATTATCTGACAGATTACCTAGGTGGTAGTGGAGACTGGAGGTGGGCAGTGGCTCCCTGCTGGGGGACCAAGAATCTGAAACCCAAGTGAAGAGAAGAATGCAGGACAAAGGCCATTGAAGGAGACACTCTGGGAGCACAGCTGAAACAAAAGAGAAAACGCAGCCGGCATCTGAATCACATATGGAGAATCCCTGTGTGGTGAATGGGGAAGAATGCGTGGTGCAAAAATAAAATAACTTTGAAGAACATGTATCACCCTATTCTAATTTTCTCCAGAAATACCCAGAGAGGGGTCAAAAGAGAAAGAAGAGTGGAGAAATCGGCTACTGCGTTTCACTGCTTTTGGTGCATTCCATAAATTTCCAGAAGATTTAGACATTATTATTTTGTAAGAGTATTTTAACATTTCACCAATAAAACATTGAAATTCATACCTTAAAATAATACCAATTCTTCAACCACTGGACAAAGGATTACTTTATAGATTATTCTAACATGTAAATTAAAAGTGGAAATTCTGAAAAAAGAAATATATAATTTCACCTAAAATTAATCACCTGAAATTAAAACAGACCTATATCTTGTTTGGAATCTCTCTGTTATTATAGGATATAGTTGTATTTCTGTTCTTCTGTGGAAGGGCTGGAAGATGTCTACTAAGATGTGATAGTTTCTTCAGAGAGAAAGATGAATATTTAGCAACCAGGAAATTCATTTGCCTCTTTTATTTTAAACTTGACATCATTTGAAACATTCTTTAGTCAAAGTGTCTACAACAAATTATTTTGAAAGTATCTGACTGATGCTCAGAATTCCCCAAAGAAGAATGTCTTAGGAGTTCTCTGAGCAGCCTTATTATGTAATTGTCTCTTATGGCCTTAGAATAATAATTACTGGTATTTTCTGGAAGCAGAATTGTTCACACCCCAGAAAACTTTCTGAAATACACTGTGAAGGATATTATCCAGACTTTGGGAAGAATAATAATAGAGTGCTTAAATATTCCCTTAATTCTGCTCATTCATAAACTATATGCTAGTGGTTACCACTTCATAATTGTCAATAATCACTTGGGCTCTTGGGTAAAAGCGAAGATTCTTGTCAAACATTGCTAATTACTGACTGAGTGTGTCAAGGTGAAGTTGGAGAAAATAATTGTCAGTCAAATTGTCAAATCAGATGGATATTATGCTTTGCAAATCCTTTCTGTAGACCTAGTCATCTCATTGCCAGGAAGCCGCATCTAGGGAGGTCTCCCCCTGGGCACTCGGTGGAACCTCAGCCTGGAGGTGGGAGTGCTGGTGACTCTGACAGAGCAGGAATTCTCAAGCAGCTCAGAGGTGGGCAGATAAGGAAGGGATTCATTAAGGCAAGAGCAGCAGCGAACGGCAGCTGCCCTGCAGGTAGGAGAGAGCAAGGAGGAGCAGAGGGGAGAAAGGACAGCTTGTTGCCCTCCTGCTTGGCGACGGGTAGATTCCCTTGCCAGCTCCTGAAGCCAGGGCCCCAGGGTGGCCCATTTCCACTTGGATCTGCAAGGCATGGGGACTAGCCCCTACCACCCCAGGATTTGGGGGAGCCACAAAGCACAGGATGGAGGGAGATTATTTTCTGAGAACTTCCCAAAGAAAGGAGATTTTCAGGCAGGCGGCTAAAAGCCGATGGCACAGCTGCAGGTCTGCCTGTGTCACCCCGGCGATGGGAACTTGCAGGCTCAAATCAGAGCTCTCAGGAGCCCCTCCCTGTGTGTCAGGCATACTGTGGAGACAGAATGAAGACTTGGAAATAAAATGAAATAGCAGAGACAACAAAGACACTTGCCACTGGAGGAGGGCAGAGACAAGACACAACAAGCTGGGCAGTGAGAAAGCTTTGTTTGAGCATGCACTTAGAAAGGAGTGTAGGCCACCTCAGAGAGCAGGTGTGCTAATGGGCTGGGGATTCTGGCTTTCAAGGATTTCATGAATGGGGCAAAGGGTGGAGGGGCATTGTGGGACCTAGGCCTGACCTGCGGTCTGATGATGTCCATCTCCAGTGAGGGACAGTGCGTCCTCATGCACAGTCAGTTCTCTAGGTAATTCTGTAAGATAAACTGAACCCAGGGTGTTTACTGATCTGGTTCCCCTCCAAGGGTGTGGCTTCCCTCAAGCACTGGGACCACATCAGCTAACATTTCATGCACCACTTTAAGATAGGGTGGGTTACTGTCTGATTACCAAAGAATATCTTAGGAATCTTACCTCTTAACTCTCTGGTTTTCAAAATGGAATCTTAACCATAAGAAGGGGTCCCTCTTGTTCTTCCTATACTGTTTATATCTTGGTGTTTTCATCAGTCAGGAAAAGTTATTCGTGGTGCTTCTCCCATGCCCCTCAGCTACCTCAGCCTAACATACAAACCAAAAGACATTTTATTGTTCATCTGGTTAAGGACCTCATTGTAGAGTAAAGGAACTGGAATAAATTTTAAAGATATAGAATATGGAAATGAGATTCTGTTTGTGCATTTATTTATTTTTGCTTTGGCTTTTAATAAGTCTTAAAAGCATTAATCACTTTTAGCTTGTTTCTTTGAAAATAATTTTGACTACTCAAGACATAGTTGTCAATATGCCATTCATCTACTACATAGTTCCAGGAAAATCTTTTAAACAATGAAGCTTATCAATCTGACATGGAGAATTAATAATATCTATTATGCAGTAGAGAATTAAGTGAGATTGTTTAAGAATCAAATACACAGCAGTGTATATATTAACATTATTAAAATACTGACTTATTTTTTAATGAGTATTGACCATATTTTCTTTTTGTAACAAAAGCAATATTCAGAATAAAAGTATGTTTCTGTTTTGAATTAGAACATAGAATTTTAGTATGCAGGATCAATAGGTCAAGACATCAAATTGAAATACTACTTATCTTATTAAGTCATGAGATTATTAACTCTTACTAAATATGTCATTAAATATGCATTTGGAAATTATTAAAAATATGCATTAGTTTATTTGCTATGATCTTGTTTTACACAGATACACCCTAATTGTGTTTTAAATAATTTTAAACTTACAGAAAAGTTCCAAGGATGTTGTAGAAAACTCTGAAGTAAACTTAGCAACAATTCCCCATGTTTCAATACTTTGCCACAGTTCAGTCATCAGAAAAAATAAAGAAAAATACAATAATTGTATTTAATTCTTGTTCATTTTGAAATTAGTTTCAGTATCATGTGTTGTGTATAGTTGCATTGTTCATTTAATCATTTAATCTATCACCTGAAACAGTTCTTCAGTCTGTCTTTGTCTCTCCTGATGTTGACACTTGAAAAACAGGATTGTTTGTAATGGAAATGTGCTTTTTGAGGGGTGATATTCTATTTTTTCCTCATTACATTTAGGTTAGTATTTTTTACCAGAGTATTATCTCTGGATCAAACTCGGACATACGCCATATCAACCTATCTTTATTTTAGTCAGTAGGTTTTGAGCCATTACTGTTTGTATATATCTGTGGGGCACTTGTGGTCTGAGAGGAGGTGCTTGGATGTGGAGGGCTGACAGCATTCCTTGGGAGACCAACAACAGGGAATGAAAAGGAAAGGACGCTGGGATTTAGAAACCGAGGCTTGGGCCTCAGTGTCAGTTACTGCCACTGGGATCCCATTGATTCTGTGTGTTACTAGGGGAACTTATATCACACACTCTCACTGGTGGTTTCTCATTTCAAAGACCTACCAGGGTTTTCCTTTTCTTCACTTCTTCCATTTTTTCCATACTGGATGCACTGAATCCCCACAAAATATTAAATTATTCACTGATGTGCACAGTCCTAAAATATGCATACGTAATCCAAGCTTTCCACATCATACCCTTTGATGACCAGCCTACATTAAATAGTTTTGGAATTTATGTAGTTCTTTTTCTCTTCTAAATTAAGTGTATATATTGCATGTACACTGCTTAAAAGTTGTGGAATGAAGTCTTTTACATGTACTTTCCAACATGCTTAATTTCATTTGAACTGCAGTTATTTCATTTGATTGAGTTTGCATTCAGTTTCAATTTTTGTTCACATTTGGTCACTTCACTTTTTCAATATTTAGAAAAATAGTATGTCTTCTCCAAGAAAAGTGTTTAAAAACAGTATCAACAATAACAACAAAATCTATGCTCAGTGAAATGCCACTCCCTTCCCATCCCTTTCACCCAATCACTCAGCACCGTGTGAGGAAAAACACTCTCAGCATTTCAGGGATTAACTTTAATGTGTTTGTTTTTTAAAAAGAAGAGTTGTGTATGTTTACTTATTGCACAGCATACTATGAAAACTCTCTTGTGTTAGATTTTTCACTTATTGCATGGTGGGAATCACTACTTATCAGCTCTAGAGATTGCCTTCCTTGTATTTTATAGTCAAAGAATAACCCACTATTATATACCATAGTTTTACTAATATCCTGGGTTTTGACATTGAAGTATTTTCCAAATTTTGCAATTGCCCATAATGCTACTAATAAAAAACATGTGGAAAATGCATTACTGAACACAGGAGGTGCACCTTCAAGGTATTATCTTGTCTGGTGATTGTCCCTGTTTATTAGACCCTGTGTTGTTTACTTCTGCACAGCAGTTTACGCGTGCACTCGAAGCCCACTGGCACTAAGTTCAAGTTTTAACATCCAATTTTTTTGAATATACCAATGGAAAAAATAAGTGTAAGGTATTATTTTGGCCACATAGAGACTTCCTGCTTCACATACCCCACAGAACTGTATGGAATACCCGCCAGCCCTCAATGTCACCCTCTGGGCCTACAAAATATTCCACCTCAGGGAATCAGCCTGATCATTTGCTTCCAATGCTTTTCTTTTATCCTTTCCATTTCTTTTACTAGGAAATTTTTAGGATATTTTATAGTTATTAGAATTTCTCTTTTAGTTTTGTTACTTTATAGCTATTTTTGTTGCATATGTCTGCCCCAGGAATTACAACACACCTATTTAAATTTATAACAGTTTTATGATTATTAATCTGTACCTTTTTATAAAATATAAAAATTTTGAATTCATATAGAATCACTTAAGCTGTCATATATATTTCCATATGCATTATAAACTCCACATGGCGATGTTAATATTTTAGTTTTTAAACAGTTATATAGAGCTTATGAAGAAATGCAGGGGTCACTGTCCAAAAGGAAAAAAAAAATAACTTACATTTATCCACAAACTCACCACTTTTATCCTATTCACAAATTTCTTAGGGATGAAGTCTACATGTAACATTTCATCCAGTCCGAAGCATTTAATTTCATATTTCTTTTACAGTAAGCTTGCTGTAAACATATTCTTTGTCTTTTATACAATGGTATCTTTGATTTTATTTAACTTCCAATCATATTTTTGAAAGACATAGAAATTTGCCTGATCATTCACATCACTTTCAGTACTGTAAAATTATTTTTCTACCATCTTTTGGCTACCATGGTTTTTAGTGAGAAAATACCCAGTATTTGGGGCACTTTCTCCTTTTAGAAAATGTTTTATTTCTGGGCCCTTTCTTTTTCTTAAGTGTATTTTTTTATTGATGTATAGTGGAAATACAATATTGGTTTGAAGCACACAACACAGGGGTTCAATAGTTACAAACATTATTAAATCCTCCCTCCTGCTAGTGCCGCTAGTCTTTGTCAACATAGGAAAATGTTACAGAACCACTGACTATATTCTCCATGCTTCACTTCCATCCCCATGACCAACTTATATTATGACTGAGAGTCTGTGCTTCTGTATACCCCTCACCCACCCCACCCCCTATCAGGACCCCGCCCCCATGGTAACCACCAGTCACTTCTTAGGGACAATGGGTGTACTGCTGTTAAGTTCATTTTGTTTTGTATTGTTTTTAAATCCCACACATAAGTGAAAGCATATGGTATTTGTGTTTCTCCACCTGGCTTATCTCACTTAGCATAATACCCTCTAGGTCCACCCATGTTGTCACAAATGGCAGGATTTCTTTGCCTTTTATGGCTGAATAATATTCTTTTGTGTATATGTACCAGCTCTTTTTTATCTATGCATCTCTGTAAGGACTTTGGTTGCTTCCATATCTTGGCTACTGTAAATAATGTGGCAATAAACATAGGGCTACGTATATATTTACAAATCAGAGATGTTGTTTTCTTTGGTTAAATTCTTAAAAGTGCAGTTACTAGGTCTATGGCATATATTTTTTTTAATTTTTTGTGGAACCTCCATTATGTTTTCCATAGTGGCTGCATCAATTTTCATTCCCACCAACAGTGTAAAAGGGTTTCCTCTTCTTCACATCTTCGCCTACCCATGTTCTTTCTGGTCTTTTGCCCAGTGGGATGCTGGGCTCTCTAGCCCATTCCTCGGGACTACAGTCTCCTGTCCCGCCCTTGGAGACATCTGGGATGGGAAGAGTTGTGTTTCAGGTGTTGGGACACTAACTTCTAACCCATTTCTTTCTTGCTAGGTGGGCCACGTCGCTGGGCTGCATTCTCCCCCAATGAACCCAATTCGACCCTGAGACTCTCAAAAGGAAAAGGTAATATTCTTCTGCAACACATCTTGGCTGCAACACCAACTAGGAGACCAAGAACAATGGCTTAATCCTAACACTTTTACTGAATTGAATCTTTTCTGGAAATGAGCAAACAAAAGGGCAGAAGTGCCTTATGTTGACTTGCTTCTATGTCAGAAGCTGAAAAGGCCACGCCAAGCTTGCCAACTTGATGCAGCCCTCTCTCCACTCCTCTTCCTACTTTACCTCTGCACCAGTGTCAGCTAAAGCCGACCTTAGGTGAGCAAGAGAGTTATTAAAGAGGCTTGTAAGTTTTCTAGCAGCTTTGCAATTGTCTAATACTGTTTCCCATTAGAGAGACTGCTGTTCCCTCAGTAGACCCTAACAGGACCCTAAGTGTTCCAAAGATGCTCTGAAAACCTCTTTTCCTTGTGCATAAAGACAGGACTAAAGAAAGCTAGTATAACAGTTCACAATTGCTTCTTATTTTCACTGAAAATTAAGGTTTCTAAGGGTTTTAATTTCTAATTAAGGCTACTGGAAATAATAAGGGCAACGTCTGCATGCTAGAAAAGATGTGTTTTGATAAGAGAAGGTATGAGGAGTGGAAATGCATTTTTATTGAGGGAAAATAAGGTAATTTCATCCTAAAATACAGCTGGTTATTTTAAGAGGGAGAACTCTGAATGTAAAAATAAAGTTGTAGAAATTTTGTGGAAGAAGAAATTAATGTCATACTATGTGAGATTGAAGTAAATGAAGCTTAATATAAAGTACACCATGAGATTAGAATTTTGCTTTCCATTAAAAGGACAAAGTTTTCTCAAACTATTGTTCTATTCTTAATATTAAGAGATTGCAAAAGGTTTTTCTAATTGTATCAATTTCTCATGTTTAATGTCTAAATAAGGTGTTTGAGTACTTAAGAAAACAAAATCATAATATTAAAAAGCTATGAGCTAAGTTTTGCAACAACTATGTAACCTTCTCTATTTGGTATTTAACTACCTACATTTTAAAGTATTTTGTCATGTTTAGACACTGTTTCACTTCAGAACTATTTGAGAACAACTAGATTCAAGCAGAACAAGATTTAATTACATAAGATTGAGTAAACTAAGGGGGATGATTTTACTTTTTAAGACATTTTTGTTTCATATGTTGTTGATCTTTTAAAGTAAGTGTTTTAAACCTTTCTCTTACGCTGACTTACAACAGTTTAGGAAATTCTACCTTTATAAACAAAATTGAAACATGTATTTTTCTCTCTGTACCTGATCCCTCCAGAATTCAGAAACTCTCAGTGAGTATTTTTATATGTTAGGGCAATATTCTTATTTGAGTAAGTTCAATAAGAATTTGCTCTCCTTGTGACAGGACACAATTGAAAACACTGGTTATATTACCAAAGCTGTGACTGAAGTGACATATTTGAGAGAGGCACATGTATACTCAGACATGACCAGGCAGCTTGAAGGAGCCAACATTGACTTTATGGGGCCAACAAAGCCCCTCGGAAGAACCGGCCTGGGAACTTGCTTACAGGGGTCCCAGCTGCCTTACAGGGTGAGTAAGAAGGTCACTACCTGGCAAATGTATGAACCTCAGAGTATCTTGGGGACTTTGAGGAGAGAGTAATTCACCCAATTTCTACAGGTACTGAAGGCTTGGATTTCCTTTCTTCGAGAGGCCTTTAAACGTTCAATCTGCAATTCCTTACAACAAAGCACACGTAAAAGAGCCTGTGCAATCAACTGCTCTTCTTGCTGCATTTATGTAAACAATCAAGCCAAGTGTTTTGAAGCTAAACTTATTTTAAACTTAAATTTTAAACTAAAATTGTTTTCAATTTTAATTTGAAGCTAAACAAATTAGTCTTACTATGATTGCCTCTAATGAAAATGAAGGTGATTTTGGGAGAAAAGAATTATGTTTCAATAGTGCAGCCTTATCTATACTAGATTTTAATACTTGTGATTGTGAAATAGACTGGATCCTGAAATCTGCTTTCCACAAAATATATGGCTGTGACTCTCCAAATGTTTCCAATTTTCTTCCATCACTTCAGTTGAAGTCTTCCTGCTCCTAGTCTCATATTTAGCCGTGCATTCTTAATCTCCTGGTCAAGTTTATTCCTTCCAGAATGGAAAATCCAACTCCAGTTATTGCTCAGATAAGGACTTCAACCTCTGTCTCTGACAATCAGTGAAGAAACCAGCTGATCAAGTCTCTCAGATTCTTCAGAGGCTCTCAGAATCATGAATTCAGTCTCACTTTTAGAACTGGGATCCTAGCAACTATCCTTCATTGGACTCCCACTAATTCTTCTACTAGCCCCAATGTGTGAACCATGCTTACTAAACCTCTTAACTAAATTTATGTCTTCCAGACTACAGTCCCTCAAGGTTAAAGCCCTGCTGTCATGAAGATTCAAGCCCTTACCAATTGATGAACCATGCAACTTCCTGAGACCCTTGATGGGAACCCTTATGGTCCCAATCTACACCATCCCGACAGTCAGCTAGCAGAGGGACCCAATGACCACACCATCCCTCACAAGCAGGAAGCAGTCAGATTGGCCATTGCCCCTCACCCCGATGATTTGGATCGCAACTACATGAGGGGGGAATGTTAGGCAGAAGAATAGATATGTGTGCAGTGGAAAGAGAATAAGGCCAGTAAAGCGCACTAGAAGGGACTCAAAGACTTAGCCAGATAGAACTAGAGCCAGAAAGGAGTACAGAGTTAATGGGTTAATTAATTGGAGCTGCAAAGTACAGAAGTAACTTGGAATATCCAGAAATTCCCCAAATAAAGAAAAGTATCTGAGCATGGCCCATGTCTTCATTGTATCAATTAGATGATGTCATTGCAAAATCTACTTAGCCTGATAAAAGGCCCATTTTATTCTTTAACTTAACCTATATGCTGTTTTTTCCTCTCCTCCAGCCCCTAATCAAGTAACTTTGCAACTAGGACAGGAAGCCTACCTCAGAAGTGTAAATAAGCCTATGTGGACAAAGAATGCTGAGGTCCCGAACCAACATAGTCACCTAGATAATCCTATTCTTAAAACAAAGCTTCAAAGGAATTATAAATCACCTGTTCATGCCTTATGCTGACCCTTACCCAAGAAAGCCTTATAAAAACCAGAGCCCAAACCCTTAAGTGCACCTCCTCTCTGAGGTTGCCCATGCTTGCCTTTCTTTGAGTGTGTCACTCTCTAGGTCCTACTCCATGTAAGTAGGGAGGGGCTGCTGGGAGCTCTGATCTGGGGCTTGCAAGTTCCTGTAGCCTGGGTGATCCAGACGGGATTGCAGCTGTACCATCCTGCACTTTAGTAGCCTGCCATAAAATCTCCTTTATCTTTGGGAGGTTCTCAGAATGTTCTCAGTCATCCAGTGCTCTGCAGCTCCCCCACATCCTAGGTGGGAGGGGACCAGTTCCAAATCTGTTTGGATCCAAGTAATCACTGGACACCAGGTGACCCTGGCTTAAGGAGTTAGCAGGGATCTGTCCCATGTTGAGTAACAATCCAATGAGTATCCCTTTGCTTACTTTTCCCTTTCTGTCTGCTTTAGTCAAGTAAACCTGCCTTTGTCTGCCTTGACTCTGGCCTGCTTCTCTTTTTGGGGTGCATTCAAATAAAACTTTTACTCTGCTTCACTAATGTGTCTCTGCTTTCAATTCTTTGCTGTGGTGGGGACAAGAACTGAGGAAAATAAATCAACTCCCACTAACAGTAAAAAATACTATGTAGAGAATTAAATGATTTTCCAACCATCATATATACAGCAACATTGGTATGATTATATTTTAATATTCTTAAATATTGGCTTATCTTTTTCATGAATATGAAAGAGACTGTGTTTTTGCCAAAAAGGAAGGCACATTTAAAAATAAAAATCAGGTAGGTGGGTTGTTTCAGATAGACTTTTAGTATGAGGAACAATTATGTCCCCAAATTTTGAATTATAATAGTGCTAATTTTATTAAATTATCGCTATATTAACTTATAATAAATATGATTTTAAAGTTTTAAATTATCACAAAATATACATGGCTTATTTGGTATATATTTTTTACTCTGATGCACCCTAACTTTTTCAAATAATTTTAAACTTACAGAAAAGTTCAGGGATATTGTGAAGAACTCTCAAATAACCTTACCATGTATCCCCAGTTTTCAATCCTTTTTTGCATTAGAGGCATGTGATAAAAGATATTAAATATACTATAATTATATTTGATTGTATTCCCTGTTTTTGTTGATTTTTTTT